GATGCCACTTGGGAGCGCGAGGCAGACATCAGAGCTTGTTTCCCAGATTTTCAGTTCTGATTGTATCTAGTTGTGTGTATTTCCCTAGTTTTAGTATTTCCAAGGGCGAAAATATTTTTAAGGGGGATAGATTATAATAGCCCAGTTCTTTATTAATAAAAATGGAAGTTTTTAGTTCCAAGTTGAACTATTTCTTTTTATTAATACCGCTCGTCTTGAGTTTCGAGCCCAATTATCAGCTATTCAATCTCAGTTATTAATTCCGGTCCATTTATTATTAGAAATGGATTTTATACAGTCGGAATTAATTATTTCAGTTGACGAATAATCGGAACCGAGTATGTTTCGCTATATCGTCCAAGTTTAGCTGTGTCCGGAACCGAGTCATTCGGTCACGAGTATCGCGACTAGTTCGCGCCTAGTCGGGTATCGAGCCCTAGCCGTGTTCATAATCTTACTTAGAATATTTTCTAAGTATGAGATCCTTTTTATCGAGCCTTCGCTAACATTCCCTCGGCCTAAGTAACCCCGCACCGAGCTCGTGCACTGGTCCAAGTCCTCGCGCCCTAGGGTCGCATGCCTCGCCAAGCCACGAGTGCCCAAGTCATAGCCGAGTATTTCGAGAATTTTTCTAAGTGTCAAGACATCCATTTTCAGTAATGGACTAAGTCCTAGTCTCGGTCCAAGTTCTTGTGCATCGAGCCCTAGTAAGCCGCGCCCTAGTCCGTGCGCCATTCAAGTGCCGAGCCAAGTACATGAAATTATTGAAAATTATTGTAAGTATTTTTGGGCCACAAGTCAGCCACTATCCAGCCCTAAATGTGTAGCATACTCGGCCGAAGAGTTGGCATAATGTCCAGCCCGTGCGCACAAGAGCCGCGCCCAGCAGGCCGGGCGCAAGGCCCTAGCGCCAAGCCCATTGCGAGTGGCTCCATAGCCCAAATCATGAGATTTTCGAGCCCAAGTCTTGGCCCAATATCATGCGAGTAATAAGGTGATTAAAGGGCGTTAATCCAGCTCAAGATGCCCTAAGTATGGATTAAGGAAAGTCCACATGCATTAAGAGTGAGTGGGATGAGTATCATGCACAATATTTTATTCCATGTGTAAGAGGAATATTCCCCACTCACCTATGGACCGCCAACCCTTGTCAACCACCAGGAATCGTGCTCCATGGTCAGCCCAAGAATCCGTGCAAGGCCCCCTCTCCCATGCGCATGTGTGTGTGTGTTTGTCCCCCCACCTTTGAGCTTTGGATGCTCCGCCCCTCAGTCTCCATATAAGGGACATCCTCAGTTCATTCCCAGCTCTTGGACACATTAAGCACTTAACCATATTGATGTGAAAAGTTGAAAATAACCGAGAGCCAGTCCAACCTTTTGCCGTGCGCGCGTGTGACCCCGAGTGGACGAGTTTGCGAAGTCCAGTCTTGTGCAAGCTATATCTCTCGAGGCTTAGCAATTTCTAAGTGATTCTTAGATTTTTCCAAGTCTTTTGAGACTATCACCCTCAACTATTCAACCCCAAGTCGAGGCCTAACACCCATTGGCCGCGAGCTAGCCGAGCAAGGCCATCCTTAGCAACATTCCGAGTTTGAGCAAGGTAAGCTCCTACCTATCATTTTTTCCAGCTTATACATTATAAATTAGGAATTATCATGTTGAAAAATAATTCCATGCATGTACTTAAAGTGAAGTTATGATTTTTTGAACTTATTAGCTCTAATTTCGGAAGTTCTTGTACATGCATGAGATGGCTGAGATTAATAGCTTCAAATTCCTTAAAAATCATGTGGATTAAATTGATAAAGATTAGCATGATTTGAGTTCATATGTTCGGTCATGTTGGTTAGTGAAATCGAGCCATTTTCACCTCCGAACCTAAGTCTATATGCATGCATGTTATGATCAATGTTCTAGCCACCATAGTCATGATTTTTAATGTAGATAACTCGGCCCTAAGTGAATTCTTATGTTTAGCATGTTCATTTTCGGTGACCTAGGGCTCATGGGTGCCTTATCGGCCCCATAGGCCTTTCTCCAAATCAAACCGAGTTGCCCTAACATTTCTTGGCATATTTACATGTTTTATATAATGTTGTGTTGGGTTGAGTCAATTGTCACCGGAAATAGTGGCCGGAAGATCGGCAAAGACAGGCTAGGGTCACCAGTCGCGCGTGCCGTGCCCGTGCCGCGTCGCAGAGGCCAGGCAGTGCCTCTGTCCATGCCCGCGTCTAGCGCAAGCGAAGCACTGCAGCCCCAGTCGCACGCGATTGTGTCCAGCAGCGCCTGTCCGTGCCAGTAGGCGAGGTCTTGGCGCCAGTCGCGCCCAAGCACCTCCGACAGCACCCTGTAGCGTTGTCCCAGCGTCAGTGTACGCGTGGCCTCGAGCCAGTCGCTCGTGCTGCGCGGTGTAAGCCATGGGTCGTGCCAGCCGCACGCCCTAGCACCCAGTGCCATGCCCAGTGAACCCTAGTCGTGTTCCTTAGGTTCAGTTGGCCACGGGACGTGCCCAGCAGCACGCCCGCGTGCCCAGGGTAGCCTGGCAGCGCCCTACCAACCCCCAGTCACGCCAGAGTCGCGTGAGTAGTGCCTGGCTGCGCTAGTTTTTGCACCACCCGCACTCGGGCCGTGACCAGTCGCACGCCCCAGTGCCCAATCGCACTCCCAGCGCCCAGTTGACCTCGGCTGTGCCCAGTAGCACCCAGGTGGCACCAGTTATGCTCGTGCTCGCGCCAGCAGCGCACCAGAGCACCCAGTCACCCTTAGTCGTGCCCAGTAGCACCCGAATAGCACCAGTCGTGCCCGTGCTCGCGCCAGCAGCGCACCAGGGCACCCAGTCACCCTTAGTCGTACCCAGCAGCACCTAGTGGCACCAGTTGTGCCAGGGCTTGTGCCAGCAGCACCTGCCCGCGCCCAGTAGCACCTAGTACCAAGGCCCGGTCGCACCCAGCTCGTGCCTAATGCCGTGCCAGGGCCCCAGGCGGCCCAGCACGGGACCGGGACCGAGCCCGGCCAATCCGAACTACCCTTGACCACCCGGTCCAGAGTGAACCGGCGGTCCGTCCCGGTCCGGTTCAGTTAGTGAGCGAACTGGGTGGTTTTACCGGCAGTTCGAGTCAGTTTTGGTTCGTGATTTTCGGTCCGAGTCTTATTCCAAAATTTAAGTAATTTTCCGAGCCAAACCAGAGCAGTTGAGCACACCAGTCTAACTTCCAGACTTAGAATTATTTTAGTGAACCCATAGAGCGTTTCTTTATATCCGGATGAGTAATCTGATAGAGTAGAGCATCTTAGCATATTATTGAGCATATGACGAGCATAGTACTTAGTATAATTGTTTGCTTATATTTTTATGTAGCTTGAGGAGTCAGCTACCAGCACAGCCGCACTTACATATTTTCAAAGAAGATCAGGTCGGGACCCAGTCTGGGTTATACATTGAGTATAATAGTCAATATCACGTTCAGATATGTATATGAGTTTCATCCGCTTGTGGTTAAGGCCAAGTTTGCCTTCCCTAAGTTCTGATGGTGGCCCAGTTTGCCATAGTTATACCATCAGAGTGTGCACACAGTTACCAGCCATAGAGTTCCAGGAGTTACCGGCCAGAGTGTTCCGGGAGTTACCGGCCATAGTGTTCCGGGAGATTTCAGTTTACTTATATATACCGGTTCTGTGATATCATTATTATTATTGCTGTTTACTTTAGAATGGGTTTTTATGGAGTACAAGTGGACCGTACTCACCCCCACTTTATATTTTCAGATGGCAGGGTCGGCGGGCAGGCGTGAGTCCAGCTGTGGTGGATGTGGTCGTGGGATGGCACAACAAGCCGTTCCAGGGACATTTGTTATCATGTTTTGTATAACTATTAAAACCACGCATTTTTAGACTTCCGCTATGTTTGCTTTTATTTTGAACTTGCACGACAGTACTTTAAGACTTAAATAATTTATCCAGTTCGCCAGTACGAACGGGACCAGTTTAAATGCAAGATTCGACAATAGATTTAAATCTAATTTTCTTAAAGTCTAAACCAGTTGATAGACCTAGTTAAGGAAAACGGATTATTAAAGCAGAAGAGTTTTTAGCAGCATCCCGAGATAGTTTGCAAACAATTTCGAAAAATTTATAAATGTTTTCAAAGGTTAGAATTTGCGAAAAATTAGCCCTAAGTAGCGGGGTGTTGCAGATACGCTGGTAACGATGGTTATCGAGCAATAACCCTAATGGTACCGTACGAGTTTATCAGTACGGATAGAGGTAGAGTATGCCGTAGCTATGGCTACAACCACGCTTTCCAGTCCTATTAGGATTCTCGACCAAGTCGGTGTTTTAGCCAGAATGTTTGACTCGACCACTGGAGCTCGCGAGGATACATGACACGCTCTATGCCACATGATGGAGGAAACGTGTGCGTGATCTCGGGGTATATGTGAGCTGTGACGAGCTGCGTGTTAGGCAGAACCCTACCTGTATGGAGGTACCGGTGACCTATTGGGATAGAGGGTCCATTAGGAAAAGACCGGGAGAGGTACTCGTCAAATCCAGTGGGGATTTTCGAGGCAAAGCGACTTGGGAGAGGGAGACTGAAATTCGGAGGAGGTACCCGAATTTCAGGTGTTGATGTTGTCCCCTCTTGTTCTCGTTAATTTCATGTCGTAGTTTGTTGTTCGAATTCCGAGGACGGAATTCTTTGTAAGGTGGGTAGACTGTAATGCCCCGTTTATTTATGAATAATTTTGGGATTATTTATTGTTATTATTATTATTATTTATTGTCTGTTATTATTATTATTATTATTATTATTATTATTATTATNCTAAATCGAGCTCGAGAAACCGGTAGTCGAAACCGGCCATGGACCCGGCCCAATTTGTTTTAATTCTCGGATTATTATTGCTAGTATTATTCGGGCCCACATTGACGTTTGAATTAAATATTTTGGCCCGAACCTTTCGTTTGACGTTGGCCCCATCTCGAATTAATCATTCAGACCCAATTCGTGAATTGAATTTTCGGCCCAATTACAAGTAAGTTTGGCCCAATATTTTTCCTTTTTCTCTCGCGAGCTGACATAGGAGAAGGCAGAACTCCTTTTCTTCTTTGATCGCCCAAAACCCTTCTCTTTCACGCCGCTATCTCCCTCTCTCGCATCTATTTCTCGTTTCGGCAGAAGAGAAAAATCTCTCAATCTCTCTCGATCGTCGACCATCATCATCGTTTAAAAAAAAGGGAGAAAAGGAAGAAGAGAAGTGAAGCCCCTCTTCACGTGAGAATCCCGTAACCATCGAGCAGTCTGCCGACGAACCCTTCTCCGCGTCAAGGACCGCCGGCAACCACCCCTTCTAGCGAACTGCTGCGCGAAATCGCCACCCATCACTGCCCTCGACCCGCCGGTGACCCTCACCCGCTCTGTCGCAGCGCCCTTTCACCGTCGCCGCCCCCATCCTCCGTGAGCAGCTGCACCCCGACGACCCTTGCCATCATTGCTCCGCCCCGTCACACACCTCAGGCCCGTCGCAGAGCCTCCGCGAGCAGCCGCGACTCCCGGCGACCACCCTGCTCACGCACAAGGATCCTCATTCACGCGCAGACGACCCTACAGCGTTCCCGGCAACCCGTGCACCTCTGCTCCTCTACAAGCCACCGTCCGCAGGCCCCGCTGCCCTCGTGATTGCCATTTTCGTCACCGAGCAGAACCTCGCGATCACCAGCGATCCGCGCGTGAGCCGTCGAGCCCGTCGTGTGCACGTCAATCCTCATTCAATCCTTCTCGCACGTTTCCCTAGAACAGTATCGACGGCTTGAACTTCATCTTTTTACGTTCGATTTATGTTGTCCTGTTATGTGATATTCTAATGCCTTGTGTTATTCATGTGTATATTAAAATGTCTTGTTTGATATGTAAATGAATAATCTCATTATATGTATATGTTTATGCATTGATCTCTTCGATTTTGAGAAATCGAATGAGACCTCGTTAAATAGTGTTAAGTACTGTGGAATTGGAACCATAATGAGTCCTTGGCCTGATGGTGAAGGCCTCGGACGATTTCGATGCTTGTCGAGTCGAATATGTTATAAATCACATGCTATTCCAGTTGATATGAAATTTTGTGTGTCAAATCCTCTGATGTTCATATAGGTCGTGTAAAAATTTCATGATTTATTTCCAACTGTAGCTATTATCAATAATTGTTGTGATTTCTGGGCAGAATCTTGTAAATTGCATAATATATCGAGTTGTGCTCCAATTTGGCTAAAATTTGTATATGATGTCTCTCAAATGTGTTTGGATGTCGTGTAAAAATTTCATAATTTTTGGACTTTGTTTGCTAGGGTAATTAATTGTTTGTGTTATTCTGCTGAAACTCGTTTTATTTATGAAAATTCGACCTGTTGCTGTAAAAAAGTTTGGTTTATGTTCCTGTTTAATGACAATATGCGTGAGGAAAAATGCCCAGGAGTTTTGGATTTCATATTGGTATGGTTTTGGTGAAATATTGAATTCTGCAGAATTTTGTTACAATTTTCATAATTCGCATGTTTAATGTTTAAAACTGAAATTTTTGTATGTTGATATTAACATGCTGAAGTTGCTTGTGTAGAAATTTCAAGTGTTAACTCGTTCATTTGGTCAGGCTTTGAAATTGTGCTCGTTTTTGCTGAAAACTTGTTTGAATTTTAATCGTGTGTTTTGAGTTAAGAGCTGAAATTTGGTGATGTTACTAAGTCCAGTGAGTTGGATTTTATGTAAAAATTTTAGATCCTAACTCATTCGACTCTCTGACCTACTTAAATAGGTGGTTTTCACGTCAAATATTTCAAAATATAGTTGTGTTAAAATCTGTAATCCGGCTCGTATGTTGTTCTTTGTTGTCTGACTTGGTCATCCTTTGATTGAGTTTATGTGTACTCCCATACGTGTTTTGGTTGAGTCTAAGTGTTCCAATGTCCACAGGACTTCACGAACAACTTAGTCGAATCAAGTTCGACTAAGTATGATTTGTGTTTTCCGTTCAAAGTCAAGATAAATGTTGATTGTAGTATCTTGACTTAATGTAGGTGTTTGAGGAGTCAAGCCTCGACCTACATCCTTTCTGATTTTGCTTTTGTCAATCCGAACTACCAGATGGGTTAGTTATTCTAAAAAGTCTATGCATGTGTGTTTTAAATGTGTTAAATTCGGTATGATCTATGTATGCATGTGAACATGTAGCCTATCGATGTGAGCTTTTACGGTCGTCGGTACGGTTGTCCCCGTCGAGTTACGGTACGGTGCCCTTATGTGGCAATCTCCTTAAGTCCTGATATGGCCATGCCCTTGTGAGGTACGTAAGCCTATATAGAAGACCGTGTCCGTTACAGTGCCACGTACTCCCGCCTTCGGGTAATGAATCCCCGTTCTGCGGCTAGCGATAGATGTGCACAGGAGTAATGTTAATTGGTGTCATATTGTATAGGAGATGAGACATGATGTTATTATTGTTTATGTTCATGCTGCGACCATATCATCCTAACATATTTTATATTGTTCATATGCATAGTGGTGAGTACTATATTTTCCAACTGTACTCACTCCCACCTGCTCTTCACGGATGCAGGTTAAGCAGTTAGCGGGTGACGAGACAAGGCGAGTGGGTGGCCTTTTTATTTATTATTATTATTTGCTTCTGCAGTTATGAACTTAAGTTGGATTATTTGAACATGTTGGTTGGTTTGACTTTGAAAACACGTTGGATCGGTTTATGTTGAAAACCTTTTTTGGATATTCATGAGTATGTGGTTGAAAGAATATCATGATGTTTATTGCTTATGCTGTTGAAGTTATGGTTAATGAAAACCTTTGAGAAACCGGGTAATGAATCCTCGTTAGTTCAGACACGACTTGAACTATATTTTGAATTAAATGAGTAACGCCGAAATGTTTATGAATCGAAAAATGAATTTCGAAAATTTTACTGTGATTTTTGGAAAAGCCATAGATTTTCTTTAAAATCAAAGTGGGGTGTTGGTATTGCTAACACATAAAAGGAAAATAAATCCTAAACATACTAATCCTAAACATACTAATCAGAGAATACAAGCGGCTCTACGCTTCACAATGCACATGCTCCAAGCTCGACTACTCTCCTTAAAAGATCCTTCATAATCCTTTAAGGTAAGCCACCTTCCTTGAATTAGTCGACAACTCCCGATCGAGGAAAACTGTTTCCGATGCGTCATACGATTTAATCACAACCAGATAAATGACCGTCGTTGGCCTCCAGATCAAGATACCATAGTGACTTGCGCCGACCTTTGCGTTCTCGAGTGCACGGATTCGGAGTTATCGCAAACCAAAATCACAAACCTTGTGACAAATAAGGTTTAGCAGAAAACAAATATGCTTATCCTTATTCGTACACAAAGTCTCTAAACAAAGTTAGTTCCAAGCATTAAATACAAGAATTGCACAACAATTGAAAGATAAAACACGAATAATGGAAAGATTAATAGACAACACACGATCTCGATTTCACGGTCAGTTGTCCAATCCTTGCTCAGTTCATCCTCGTCCTAAGTGAGAGCATACTCCCGGGATTCTCCCTCTGTATTAACCAAATGTCGAGCAGAAGAGTTCATCCGCGTGAGGGTTCAACCACATTCGTCCACCGTTATCCTCTTTGGTGTAGGTCACCAATCTCCTTCTCCATGCAGTCACACAGTTCCAAGGAAAATATTCCCCAGTGATGATTCTCCTTCATTCGCACCTGAAACTAAACGACACGATCCTCTTCTAGCCTCAATGCCAGTAGTCGGTATAGCGGACGATAACAGAATGGTCGAGTTAGGACTCTGCGTAAACAGTACGCTGGATCCTCTTGAGTTTACGGAGTCATTCCGTCAAACTGTCAGCCTTCGCGGTCAACATAACCCACGTAATAAGAAGTAGTCATCGCTTTCCTCGAGATTTTGCCATCCTTGAGAATCACGTTAGCAATGCCTAATCGGTCATCGAAACTCTTGGTTTCGAACTACAACACATTCGACACACTAAATTCCAATCCTCACACTCTAATGATTGGTTCCACCATGCCTCCTCTGGTCCACTTGTCAACTGCCCCAGACGTTCGAAGGATCTCGCACATTCTGGACCTCTCGGTTGTCTCATCTCGATGAGGCATCCTGACGTTGGTCACCAGAAAGCTATGGTGCATAAATGCAAATCTCATCTATCGACGAGATAGCTCGTACAAGGTGCTAGCTCGAAACTTATTGAGAGAAATTTCTAGAGTCATCACCAAACACTAGAATTCAAATTATAACAAAGGTGGATAGTCCTAAGCCCCATATAAAATAGATAAAACAACAAAACTCATACCTCGAGTTGGCGCGGCGAGACGAAAGCGAGTGGTCGAAGGGTCATTAAACACACCAACACTAGAGATAGTCTATAGAAACGCAGACTAGCTCTGATACCGTACTGTAACGCCCCGTTTTATTTTACAAGATTTACCGAATTTGTTTATAAAAATCAGAATTTATTTTTCGCGAAATCCCAATTTAAACTTTAATATTTAACGGGCGCTACTTAAACAACTAAAAACAAATAAACATTTACACAAATACAATCCAACAGCTCAAAAGAAAATCCCAAGTTATCCATAAACTTCAAACCAGTCATGCATAAACAAATACTTCAGCAGGATTCAATAGTCTAATCAACGGGTTCGAAATAAATAAATCGGAAACATAGTTATTCAAAGTTGGACAAATGATTTATCGAGATAATAGAAAGCAAAGCGGAATCAAGTAACACACAATCCAACGAACACCACTCGATCGTCTCTCGCTGCCGCCACCAACCATTCTCAACCTAAAAAGATAGGAAGAGGAAGCAAGAGGACAGAAAAGTAAATGGGGGTGAGTACAACCATCATACTCACCATTACCGCACATTATATTTCGCATTAAGATCCATAACCATAAATAATGTATGCATAGAATCCAGATCTAACTCCCTATTAGGCCCTATCGCAAACCTCCTATGTACATACAACAAACCTCCCGACCAGACATCGGCGAGGATGTAACTGGAAGCACTCCCACCCCATATCCAACGGGCATAGGATCTTACCAGGAGACAGTGAAGTTGAATTACCCCTCCGCTCTACACGGATTCGGGCGCCCACCTCCCGGATACAACGGGCAGGTGACTTTAACTGATTATGCATT